CCCCAAAACCCCAAAACCCCAAAACCCCAAAACCCCATTTTGAAATTGTATTGTTGAAAATAAATCTGATGCTATAATAAAATGGGTAGAAAAGGATAAGAAACTGGTTTAGGATAGAAAGAAGGGGAATAGTAGGTAATAGAGCATTTACTCATTTGGGATTAACTCGACAATGATCTCATGCTTTTTTGATATTTTTAAATTTTGGCTTATTTTAAATTTGAAATTACTTCATTAGGGATTTCTTAACCTTTCTTACCAATCATAGTCACAAAACTGGGCATCTTGAGACCCCTGTGATTAGTATTTGAGCCTATCTGAGTAATCCTTAGAGAGCTTTCTTGATCATTGACAGAGCCTAGGATTGAATTAGGCGATTTCGCATGGTTCTTTAAAACAATCTTATTCAAATAACTTCTGTGGTTATTTAAATATCCCACTTTATTTGGTCCTATAAACTCATTAAACATTCTCTGCTTTGAAGAAGTACCGGAATCACAATGACCAAGATTCTTGCAACTGAGGCTTACTTCTTTTGGGGCTATGTTCTGGGCTATTATTCATAGTGTTAAACTTGTTATCAAGCTTATGGTTTCGGCCAGTTTTAGCAATGCTGAACAACATTAACTCTCTTTTCCTTCTAACGGTCCGGAACTCATTACTGTTTCTGTGACTGAGGCTGCTGTATCTCTCAAGGGAGGAATTGTCTTTTCTAGCCTTTGTTCTGAAAGTTCTGGCAACTGAGGAATGTTTTCCATCGATCTTCTTCAAGTAAATTTGGTTGTTTAAAGTTTTCATTATTGAGCTAGTATGATATTAGAAGGAAAAGTTATAGAATGTACCTTTTATCTGGATAATTCTTCAGAGTCGAAGTCTGGAATGTATTCCTATTTCTGCTGCCTTGGTTGTTTGAGTGAGTTAAGTCTTTATTTGTATGAGATTGAACCTCATTCTCTGATTTTTGTACCCAACTGTTTTTCAAAGCATTTGATGGATGCAGCTTTAGGGAATTCGCATTTGGCATAAAATGCAGCTGGTCATGATCATGTTGATGGTTGTTCCTTTGAGAACCTCCTCTTGGTCCTATTTTGTTCCTGGTTTTACTCTTTCTTATAGGTGAATTGAATGTTTTGAAATATGAAACAGCAGAATCTCAATTGTTGTTAGAATTTTTATCAACTTTTTCTTCCTCTTCATTTAAATCTCCAGACTGTTGACTAAGATTCATGCCTGCGAGGTAGTCATTGATTGTTGATTGAGGGTTGCGCATATTAGAGTTTTGGCTCTGAGACCGTTCTCCAAGTTTACCTCCTTTTAAGATCTGGCTTGCTTTGTTGAAGAGTACTTTGTCTTCGAAAACAATATGTTCAATGATCTCTCTCACATCCTGCACTTTCGATAAAGGCTCTAAAACTTCAGCTAGCAAATATAACTCAGTATCCTCCATGTCGTCATACCAAGAAGTGGTTGGCAAGGCTCATTGAGGATGAAGGAAATACGAAGCAGGGCTGTTATCTATGATTATAGTGTCCTTTAAATCTCTATCTAGCCTATCGAGGTCCTTGACAAAGATCCCACTTTGGAAAGTTCAATGCTCCCTGAATAATCTATGAGAGCATAAATCCTGTGGATCTAGCCAGTCGAGCAAGGGATTCGCATATTTTGATAAAGATGCTGTGTAGATAACTAGTTCATAGTATTTTGCCATCTCTTTTAAAAACTTATCAACTCCTGGTCTTTTCTGTACATAAACATATCATACTTGGCCTTCGATTTCAACTGGAAGTAAGAGATCATAAGCTCCAGGTGGTTGAAAGCTGCTATGCACCAAAGTCTCGTCTAGATCTAGGACAAGAGTTTTCTTGCCTTGATCCTTCTTCAATTGCTTTGGTAAAACAATCTGATTTTTAGCCTGGTTATTAATATATGGATTCATGAATGGATTTAACTGAGGCTTAGAGCTGCCTTTATCAACCTGAGTCACCAACATAGAAGCTAAGTTTGCCTTCTGAGACCTCTTTCAGTGACCTAGTTTCTCTCGAGTTCTTGGGGTTAGCTTCATTTTCCTGGTTTTCTTAGCTTCCATATTATTTAATTATAGAATATTTCAATTAAAGAAGTCTAATTTGGGGTTTTGGGGTTTTGGGGTTTTGGGGTTTTGGGG